GGTTCTCCCAGATTAGAGTCCATGCACTTTACCACTATACTACACCATCCAAATTGTCAACTGCCTTGGCAATATATTATGAGCAAGATACAGGACACCCCACTTGACCCAACCCACAGCTATTGGGAACTTGTAACTCCTTGCAATAAGAAGGGCCTCTGTAGTAGGAGAGCAAGTACATATGAACCCACCAACTACCTAGAGGAAAGAGCTGCTAATGGTTTGTGTTTTCTTGTCATAAGAACATAAGAGACGCCAATGTTGGATCAGGCCAAAGGCCCATCCAGTCCAACACTCTGTGTCACACAGTGGCCAGAAATACCAGTGCCATCAGGAGGTCCAGCAGTGGGGCCAGGACATTAGAAGCCCTCCCACTGTTGACCCCCCCCAAGCACCAAGAAGACAGAGCATCACTTGCCCCAGAGCCCCTAGCTATACCTTGTGGCTAATAGCCACTGATGGACCTCTGCTCCATATGCTTATCTAATTCCCTTTTGAAGCCGTCCATGCTTGTAGCACCCACCACTTCCTGTGGCAGTGAATTCCATGTGTTAATCACTCTTTGGGTGAAGAAGTACTTCCTTTTATCCGTTCTAACCCGACCGCTCAGCAATTTCATGGAGTGCCCACGGGTTCTTGTATTGTGAGAAAGGGAGAAAAGTACCTCTTTCTCTACCTGCTCTTTCCCATGCATAATCTTATAAACCTCGATCATGTCACCCCTCAGTCGTCTTTTCTCCAAGCTAAAGAGCCCTAAGCGCTTTAACCTTTCCTCATAGGGAAAGTGTTCCAACCCTTTTATCATTCGAGTTGCCCTTTTCTGCACTTTTTCCAAAGCTATAATATCCTTTTTAAGGTGTGGTGCCCAGAACTGCACACAGTATTCCAAATGAGGTCTCACCATTGATTTATATAGGGGCATTATTATATTGGCTGATCTGTTTTCAATACCCTTCCTAATAATCCCCAGCATAGCATTGGCCTTCTTTATTGCAGTCACACACTGTCTCGACATTTTCAGTGAGTTATCCACTACAACTCCAAGATCTCTCTCTTGCTCAGTCTCTGCCAGTTCAGACCCCATCAACGTGTATTTATAGTTAGGATTTTTGGCTCCAATGTGCATCACCTTGCACTTGGCCACATTGAACCCCATTTGCCATGTTGACGCCCACTTGCCCATCTTTGACAGATCCCTTTGGAGTGCCTCACAATCCTCACTGGTTTTCACCACCTTGAACAACTTTGTATCATCCGCAAATTTAGCCACTTCACTGCTTACTCCCAACTCCAAATCATTAATGAACAAGTTAAAAAGCAGTGGACCAAGTACTGATCCCTGTGGTACCCCACTGCTTACCCCCCTCCACTGGGAGAACTGCCCATTTATACTCACTCTCTGTTTTCTATTAATTAGCCAGTTTTTGATCCATAAAAGGACTTGTCCTTTTATCCCATGATTTTTGAGCTTGCTTAGGAGCCTTTGATGAGGAACTTTATCAAAAGCTTTCTGGAAGTCAAGGTAAATAATATCTATTGGATCCCCCTTGTCCACATGTTTGTTCACCCCCTCAAAGAACATTAACAGGTTAGTGAGACAAGATCTTCCCTTACAGAAACCGTGCTGAGTCTGCCTCAATAGGTTTTGTTCATCTATGTGCCTACTAATTCTTTCCTTAATAACAGTTTCCACCAACTTACCCAGTATCAATGTCAGACTGACTGGCCTGTAATTTCCCGGATCTCCTCTGGAACCCTTTTTAAAGATGGGAGTGACATTAGCTACCTTCCAGTCCTCAGGAATGGAGGCAGATTTTAAGGAAAGATTACATTTGTAAGGAGATCTGCACGTTTTGTAAGGAGATCTTTGTGAGGACAGATCTGCACGACTCCCCCAGTGTTCCCTCTAAGCTGAGTTAGTGTGAGCTAGCTCACAGTTTTTTAGCCTCTGGCTCACACATTTTTGTCTTAGCTCAGGAAGGATGGCTCCAGAACAAACTAATTTATACAGCAGCCAAATCTCCTGCTCACAACTTTAATGCCAATAGCTCACAAAGTAGAATTTTTGCTCACAGGGCTCCATAGCTTAGAGGGAACTTTGGTCTCTCCCCCCCCCCCAATAGCTGGCAATCCAAAACAGTCCAGTGCAGCCTGAGCGGTGGGTGTTGCCTTCTGACACACGTCCGGTGATGTCAGGGTGTGTGGCATATGCAAATAAGTTATGCTAATGAGTTATGCTAATGAGCTCCTGCACCTCTTTTTCTAGAAAATGACCCCTGGTAGTGGTTAAATGTGCGGACTCTAATCTGGGAGAACCGGGTTTGATTCCCCACTCCTCCTCCACTTGCACCTGGCTGGATGACCTTGGGCAAGCCGTAGTTCTGATAGGAGCTGTCCTTGAAAAAGAGCTCTCTCAGCCCCACCTGCCTCACAGGGTGTCTGTTGTGGGGAGAGGAAGGGAAAGGAGACTATAAGCTGCTCTGAGACACCTCTGGGTAGTGAAGGGTGGGGTATAAATCCAATCTCTTCTTCTTCTTCTTCTGGTTGCCGCCACCGCAGCAGCTGAATCCCACTCTGCAATTTCCAAGAGTGCTTCCCTTGGCCAAAACACGCGCTCAGCGGGGAGGCCTCCTTTCTGCAGGAGGCTCTTGGGCCTCCAGAAGGCAGCTGAGCCTCAACAAGCGATCCAGGCTTGGGACAGGAATATTGTCAGGGACACCAGATACGCAGTGCCTAATTGAAGCAAGAGACCTGGCGGGTGCAGCCACCCTCAAATCCCGGGCGAGACCAAGTATCTCGGGTTTCCTTCCATCCCCGGGGCCGGCGATGTGGTTTCCAGTTTCCGCCCTGCCAAAAAGGCACGATGGGCAGAAACGGGGGACCATCCTGTGGCTCACAGCGGCGGACCTACGGGGGCTCACCTGATGCGCGACCCCATGGTCCCCGGCTCCTTCCGTCACATCGTCAACCTGTGGAGGCCCCAAACCGGACAGCCCTTCTCTCCATCCGCACAGAAGAGGGCTGAGGACCGAAAAGCGTCTGGTGCATTTCAAAAAATGGATTTCCTGTGTGGCTTCTCGTTAGAGGAAGTGCGAGGTCTGGTTGGGCCTTGGCTGTGGGGCGCGGTGGGGGTGGGGAGAGAGAGGTGCTTGTGCCTTTCTCGGCTTCTTTTGCAGTCTGCCTTCCTCGCTCACTTGAACGCGTCCCCCCCCCCCAGACCTCGGAGGGCCAAGCAGAGTTTGGGATCGACTCCAAACTCTGAGAATGGGAGGTGTTATGTATTCAGCCTGACATGCCCGGACTTGCCCGGGCTGGCCAGGCACAACTCTTCAATAGCTTCTCCCACTGTGCTGCCGGGAAGCGCTGTTGAGCAGTGCAAGTATTCTGGTAAGCGTCCCCTCTGTAGACTGCGTTGCTTGCAGGAAACTAGCTGAAGGCATCTCAGAGCAGCTCACAATCTCCTTTCCCTTCCCATCCCCACAACAGACACCCTGTGAGGTAGGTGGGGCTGAGAGATCCCTTTTGAGGACTGCTCTTGAGAGAACGGCTCTGAAAGAGCTTGTGACTGACCCAAGGTCACACCAACAGCTGCATGTGGAGGAGTGGGGAAATCAAACCCCAGTTCTCCCACATCAGAGTCCGTGCACTTAACCACTGCACACTGTCAGCCCTTTCTATCCACTTCTTTAATTCTTTCTTTCTACCGCGCTCCCTCTCTCTCTCTTAGACAAATAAATATAATTAGCCAACGAATAAATATCACTGGAGAAATAAACATCCTTATCAATACCAGGTTTTTTTTTACCCCTTTTGTTTTTATTTTTGGCAGTCTCGTCTAATCTTAATAAAACGCAAACTTGCATATTTTTCAATAAAGATGTGTAATATTTGTCAATCCTAAAAGAAATCAACCCTGACTGTTCCCTGAAAGGCCAGATAATGAAACTGAAGCTCAAATACTTTGGCCACCCAATGAGAAGGGAGCACTCCCTGGAGAAGACCCTGATGCTGGAAAAGATTGAAGGTCAAAGAAGACGGGGACGGCAAAGGATGAGATGGTTAGATAGTGTCATAGATGCAACGAACATAAAGTTGAGCCAACTTCAGAGGACGGCGGAAGACCGGAAGGCCTGGCGGGAACTGGTCCATGGGGTCGCGAAGAGTCGGACTCGACTGTGCGACTGAACAACAAAAATATTTGTTCATGTCTTGTGGCTCTTAAACATCTGATGTTTATTCTCTGTGGCTCGTATGTTAAGCAAGTTCGGCCACCCCTGCTCTAGCATGGAAGTCAGTTATAAACAATGCCCCCTATCAGCTGCGGAGTCTTGCGAGCAAAAATTCTCCTTTGTGAGCGACTGGCATTAAAGTTGTGAGCGGGTGATTGGGCTGCTGCATAAATTAGTTTGCTCTGGAGCCCTCCTTCCTGAGCTGAGACAAAACTGTGAGCTGGAGGCTAAAAAACTGTGAGCCGGCTCACACTAACTCAGCTTAGAGGGACACACTGGCTGCAATGCTCCCTCTAGGCTGCAGAGTCTTGTGAGCCAAAATTCTCCTTTGTGAGCGACTGGCATTAAAGTTGTGAGCGAGCGATTTGGCTGCTGCATAAATTAGTTTGCTCTGGAGCCCTCCTTCCTGGCCTGAGACAAAACTGTGAGCTGGAGGCTAAAAAACTGTGAGCCAGCTCACACTAACTCAGCTTAGAGGGAACACTGGTCTCAATGCTCCCTCTAGGCTGCAGAGTCTTGTGAGCAAAAATTCTCCTTTGTGAGCGGCTGGCATTAAAGTTGTGAGCGAGCGATTGGGCTGTTGCATACATTCCTTTGCTCTGGAGCCCTCCTTCCTGAGTGAAGACACACAAAAAATCTGTGAGCTGGAGGCTAAAAAACTGTGAGCTAACTCACACTAACTCAGCTTAGAGGGAACGCTGGTTATAAACCTGGGGGGGGTCGCCAGGCCCTACCTGGAGGTTGGCATGGCAACCTTAAGAGAGTGGTTTATAAACATGTTACGTCAGCATCCTCCGGCAATGACTTCCACATTTCAATCACTCTCTGTGTAATGGAGTGCTTCCTTTTGTCCACCCTGAATCTACTGCCCATCGGCTGCATAGTTCTAGAACTTCGGGAGGGAGAAAAATTTTCTCTTTGTCAGCTCTCTCTGCCCCATGCATAACTGTCCCTGCATAACTACCTGTGCAAAAAAGCCCCCCCCCCCCGGTCATCTCTTTTCTCAGCTGAAAAGTCCCCAACTCCTTAGTCTTTCTTCACAGGGAAGGAGCTCCAACTCCAGTTCTGTGTTTAGATCTCTTGTTGGTTCTACAACCCTGACCCTACTTCGTTGCTTATTGAATATCCCGTTCTGTCAGTCGTACCGACTCACGCCTGTGTAGTCTGCCCCCAAATAAACGAAGAGGTTCAGGGGCTGTCCGAAGACATTAGGAATCGCGAAGCTCTCGCGCTGCCTCCACACTCCCTCGAAACACGAATGTAGCATTGGGCTAAATGCTATTTTTAAAACGTGAGCAACAGCAGCTGGTGTGGCTTGTCAGACTTCCTAATTTTTTGCAGCAAAGCGTCCCCCCCTCCACCCCAGCTCTGCTTGCTAACGGAGGGCCGGGTTTGTGCATTTGACAGAAAGGGTGCAAAAGGTCTCCCAACTGTAATCGATCCTGTCCATCATTCAAGGGGCCACAAGGACCCACAGGGGTGGATCCTACTTGTTCAGCCCTTGGCAGGGCTTGTGCTAGAAGCAGGGCTTGTGCTAGAACAGTTGTGCTAAGCATTCTACCGTAATCTTCTATAAGATACATTTTGGAACTAACTTTTGTTGATGTTGTTCAGTCGCATAGTCGAGTCCGACTCATCGCGACCCCATGGACCAGATGAAGCAATTCCACAAACTTGTAGTCAAATTCTTTTCTCATTCTATTTGTTCTAGTTTTAACATCACCTACCTCTTATATCAAACTAAAGTCTTAATATCATCCTTGCATACGCATTTTAAAATAATCTTCCATTTAATAAGGTATGCTAAAAAAACCTTATTAAATGGAAGATTATTTTAAAA